CTCCCTGCAGTGAATACAATTGTGGGAAAAGATATAACAGCCAGGGAAATTCAGAAATCAAGGCTTACAATGCAGTCATGTGTTTTATGATCGTGAAAGACTGAGGCTTTAGCTAATGATTAATTGGAAGGTCCAGCTACATCTAGCAGCAAAAAAATATTTTGTTGCATTCCATTCACAAAAAAATACCCATAGAACACCTGAAAATTGAGTTGAAAGATTTTGACTTGCTTTTTGTTATTCTCAAGTATCTTATTTCTCACCTTGGCAGTCCTAAGGCAGTCTTGACAACAAGTAACTAAGAAAAGGAAGTGTGGTAGAAGGTCCTTATTATCTTTGTTGGGATATTTAGGAACATAGTAGAAAATAAGTGGGAATGATACATTAATGAGTAGTGAATCTTGCAGAGCAGTGCTATGAAAATATTTTACTCTCTGAAGTGCTTAGCATAAATCCTAAAGAACTGGTTACAAGCAACTTAGCTTCACTCTTCTTTGTTCCCTTGAAGTCATTTATGAACCTATAAACTGTGCTTTTCAATTGGACTTGAAATGGAAATGTAATACAGGTAAAAAGTTTTAGTGTAGAAAACAGTTTTCTAAAATGAAACCAGTTTAGTCAATAGGTTATACAATGTATGTTTAAAAGCATTTCTGTTTTGGTTTTGAGTACAACTAGATTTTATCTAGTATTTGTCTTCAAATTGTAGGTGAAGAAAGTGATGCCAGTACAGTTTCAATAAAAAGACAGCTTGAAGACGTTCACTTACAGGTAAAAATTTCTGGTGTCTAATGTAATGGAGTAATTTTGTGCTCAGTAGCATTGATTGAACTATTTGAATAGCTTACATGTGCCTGATGCATTGACACACTGTCAGCAGAAGATGCTATGTAGTTTGAGTCTTAATGCACATTTTTAGTAAGTATAGCAAATGAGAGGATCAATGCATAATGTCATGAAGACCAATATGAAGTAATATTATGCCTTGGTATTATTAGTATACCAGAGAAAGCCATACAAGGTATTGCATGGTACAGGCAACACTGAGAAAGGCTATTATAGGTATGGAAAAGAAAAATTATATTAATCACAAAGTGAACACACTTATAAAAATATTGTTCACCTGAGAGTCTAGCATAAACAGTAACATGATTTTTTTTAAAAAAGTAGATCTGAAATAATGACTACGATAACAAAAGCAGGCTGGAATCTTCTGCTGTTGTTTCCCAAACTAGACTATGGGTATCAAGACTACCCAGACTAGTTACGTGATGAAGAAAAGTACAAAACACACTTTGTGCGTGCAGCCATTCTAACCCTGTGTTCTGCTTGCTCAAATACAATTACCAAAAGTTTAATTTACTTTCCTTACTTGTTTAGCATAGTGCTAGCCATTGTCATGTCTCTGACAACAGCTAATACAAACCACTTCAGAAAGCAAGAGTTTCGCTAAAGGAAAAGACTTGCCATTTATCACCAAATGCTTTTAGATTTTACATAGAAATGTGTTACACAGTAGACCTTAATTTGTGTATGAATTCATAGGATGTTAATAATACATGTAAAAATTTGCAGCTGTAATTACCAGTGCTTTGTAACCTAACACTAGGTCTTTTTTTTCTTTTTTTTTTTTATCAGTGGGTCTTCTGAGGCAGTGTGTGCTTTTTCTTGCATGAATAAACTAGCTAGTTATCTCTTTTTATGTCTTCTCAGGTTTTTTTTACATAAATGCATACATTAAAAATAAGTTTATGCTGGTTGGTTATCCTCATCTGAATAATAATAATAGTTTGAAACAAATCTAAATAATATGTTGGGGTTTGTCAGTGTCAATTATTTCTATGTGTTTTAATTAATTCTTTTTTTTTTTCCCCTCTCTAGAATCTGTATGTAGATGATGGGAAAATTCAAGAGAAAGTAAAAGTTCAAGTGGATGTGATAGTACAAGATCATGCTAGAAACATTCCCAAGTGGATTGCGGTAACATATTTCACCTGTTCTGTTCTAAGTTATTAGCTAATTAGAATAAAATAAGAATACACTAACTGTGCAACACAGTAAATTCTAGTAGCACATCTCTACTGTTCGATCATTGTTCCTCTCCTGCTTGCTGACTATGTAAATATCACAGTATCTCAGGTCTCTGACAGCAATGATTTGTAAGAAACAGAGCAGACGATATCTAAATTTTTTTTTTTTACTCTTATACTTTGTTATTTGAACCCTGATGTGCAAGTTGGTCTTCAGTAAGTTTTCTGAAAAGCCTAAATTTGAGGTTTGTAGAAAAAAAGAGGAGGTTTAGATTTACTTCGGTTTTGGGGGTGAGGGGGATTGTGCACAAAGGGTTGTTTTACATGGTACGGCTTCCATTTCCTACTGGAGTTGACAGAGATCTATAGATTATCCAGGTCTACATATCCATACATAAATTCTCCTAATTGGGAAAGGAACTAAAATATGATAAATAACGTAGAAGTTGCAAAGATGATAAAAAGCTTTCCAGGATTAGACTGGTAACTCTTAAAAATGCTTACTGAAGTCTTAGACTAAACTTTTTCTTCCTTTTCTGAAATTTACTAAGGCCCTTGGGACCATAACTCTGTACAGGACCTAGTATGGTAAGAAGGAGTAGGAGGAGTAGGAGGAGTCACAATGAGGTTTTAACATGCAAAAAAATCAGGGTATTAGATTGTCTTTTTTCTTTGCTTTCTTTTTTTTTTCAGGTGACACCTCCAAGTTTATCGGAACGTCTTCGTTTAGATTTGCCAGAGCAAGAACTGATTGGTACAACTAAATCCTTTTGTGTGTTGGTCAAATATGTTAGTTACAAAATGTGTTTTGTTTTTTTTAATTTGTTAGAAAGAAATTAATAATTTATTGATGAAAACACAGAGGCACTATTTATCCAACAGAAAAGTTCAACAGGCTGGATTCTTGAAGAGAAATTAGACATGAATTTTCTTTTAGCAAAATATATTTGAAAAATAGAAAATAAATAACTTGTATACATAAAGCCAGCTTTTCTTAAATAGCTCCAGGAAAAAAAATATAGTTACAAAATTCAGCAGAATTAAGCTCAATTAAATGAAAGCATAATGTTTTGGTTCAGCTTATTTTAAATTCAAGGAATGTAGTGAATGGCTTTGTGTCTCCTGGTAACTGGTACTCAAAGTGGAACTTCGTTAGTAAACTTTCTTTCTTCAGAAGCTCTCCAGACTTGATGCAAACCTAAGATAGAATTTTGGTGTAAAAATGACAAACCTAACAACTACAAAAAGCATTGTCTTCATCATGCTTTACAGCAAGCAAAGCTGCACTGGTACTAGCCAAGTACAAAGCTTTTAAGTAATATGTAAATAGAGTAACATAAACCTGTAGGATAAGTCTGTTCCTGCTGGTCAGAAATCACAAAGAGCAAAGCAGTCTGCCCTTACAATTAAAATATTTTATATTTATATGTTAAGCTATTTTAAAATAGTTTCTTTTCAACATATTTAATTTCTGTCTTCTATATAGTCTGTAATTCAGTATGGTTAGGGAAAACCTTTCAGTTTTTTCCTAATGGAATTAATGAAATATGCTATTACAGTAAGACTATCTCTACTGCATGCAATTGTTTCTAAGTCATGTAATACATTACTGGAAGTACCCTAATAGATTTGGGGTTTTTTTTCTTCTTCTTGTTTTCTGATTCATTTGGTTTTTTTGAATAGGTAACCAAGCCACTGTTTGCAGAAAGAAAGTAGAGTTGTCAAGTGGATGTTCTTCATTCAGATCTCTACAGTCACAATTTTCTGGTATCCCTATTTCAAGGAACACAATAACCATATCCAAGCATCAACCTTCTTCAGAAATGAATGAAACTTACTGTGATAGTATCTTGGAAGAATACCAGTCTGCAGATGAGGAGTGCTCCTGGACCAACTTAACTCTTGGAGACTTGTATCCAGCAATGGTGGAGATGCTGACAAAGGTCATGGCAAAGCAGCCTTGGAGAAAAGAGTTAAAATACATGTTTGGACACATAAGGCGCAAAAGATGGCGTTCTAGAAAACCAAAGCTCAACGTCGCTGTAGACAAAATAAGAGGGTTCAGACCTCTTAAACGGAAGCAAACATTACCCAGCATATGCAGCAGTAGAAGTGAAGACATCCAGAATCAAACTTTTGGAAAGGAGAACAGAGAACTTTGTGATGACATGTGTTCCATTAGTAATGTATCTGGTCTGGTACCTTATTCTTACACTGATACAAATGAAATCAAAATGGACTATTCTGACTCAGGTTTAGAAAATGGTTTGTTACCTGGAAAAGACCAAGAAGTCTCCAAACGGACTGGTTTTCTTAATGTTATGGATGGAATGGGAGAGACATTTCTAGTTGAAGATGAGTTGCAGACTGCTGTCTCGCTGAAGAATTCAAAAGGCAAGGAAAGTGAAAAATTGGCTTACAAATGTTCCCCTGAATACTGTTCTGTAACATCTCCTTCCAGTTCAGGGTCAACAGCACTTCATCTGGTGAAAGAGAGTAAAACTCAAAAAAGTGACTTTCCTTGTGGTGATAACTCAGAGTTGTTTTCATCTACTTGTAGTTCCTATGGCAGTAGTAACACTTTTATGCCTGTCACAGACTGTTCTCTTGCAAGAGCATCAAATACTTTGCTCATAAATCCTGAAAAAACAATTTCTGAAAGGCCAATTCCTTTCCAGCGCAAACACTCATTTTCTGCATTGTCTGTGAAGCAGCATCCTTCAAAGATGCCCCAGAAAAATGAAGATGCATTTGAAAAACTCTACTACGAACTGTATTCCAAAGAAATCCAAAAGCCTTTGATATTGACAAGACCCCTTTCAAATTCACAGAACCTTGAGGAGAGAGGAATATTAGTGACGAGAAATTTAAATGATTCTGTGAGGTCCAATACACAGCATGATAGAGAATTTGACAGGATCTATGAGCAATTCTGTAGTAAGGCTGTTCCTAAACTTCCTGGGTTTCTGAGAGCTTCAAGTTTAAGGAAATATGAAGGAATACAGATGTCTGAAACTGTAAATGCACTTGTTAACTCACCTGTTCGAACTTTATCTGCAATTCCTAGAGTTAAGAGAGTAGGAAATTTTCAAAATGATCTTTTTTGTTCACCAGTAAAGCGACTGAAAAATACACCAGAACGTTATTTTCCTTCAACAAAATGTCAACAGATTTATCACAGAAAAAATGTTAATCTTCAGACAGTTGGCATGGATTTTTTGTGCACATACGATGGCAGTAACTCTAGCTTTTTTGGCAGTCACAACAGTTGGAGTAAGGTAAATAAAGACCTTGTAAAACAAAATAATTTATTGTGTACTCTTTGAAGGGTTTAAAAATAGATTAGAGCTTGAAGCTGTTCAAACTAGTGACAGCATACTTGTGGTGCTATTTGGTTAGTAGTGTTGTTTTACAGGTTTGGGGTTTTGGTGTTTTTTTGTGGTTTTTTTTTTTTTTTTTTGATAAACCATGAATTGTATCAGGTATCCTGGATCATGTGAGGAAGCTCACTATATTTAATAACCTTGAAAATGGTTATAAAATGCTTAATGAAAGATTTTATTACATTTTTATAGACTGTGTCACTGTTTAAAATGATCTCAAACTGTGACCCTGTTAATTAAGGTGTTGTCCTTCTGAAATTATGACATTTTATTAATTTTACAGATGGACAAGGCAAATAAGCTTTACTAAGTTCCAGTGGAATTGTTAGACTTGTTGAGTTAAATATTAAATTAGGCCCTTATTTCCAGGTTCCCAATCACTTCTTCTGAGGCAAGCTGTGAAATAATGTGAGTTTTTTCCATCCATGTAATCTGTTGATGCTTTATTTTCAGGACTCAGCATGTCATGCTTCTTCAGATAAAACTTTTCTCGGTATTCCTGCTACTTCCCTGCAAGGTTAGTTTCAAAGACTTTATGAATTATTGCTTTAGAAATCACAGGTACTTCTTCAAAGGGTAAATCTACAGATCTCAACAGATGACTCTTTGACAGTTTTTCTTCTTTCTTCATAATTGGGTATGTTAAGTGTTCCTTTAAGGTTTCTATACAGAAAAGGGTTTCCTGAATTGCATATTAACAGGTATTTAAGAAGCTTTTCTTTAGGTTAGCCAGGACTTTTCCTACTAAAGCATTGCTTATTATCTGCTGGTTTTCTCTCTTCCTTTTTTTAAATTTTAATTTATTTCAAGTTTCTGCTGCTTTTACTTTCTATATCTAAATGTTCAGCGGGAAATGACTAGTTTGTTAATCCTACACTTGAATAACTAAATGCTTTTGTTTGGATTCCTCAGCTTTACAAAAACTTGCAATTGAGTTGTTGCATGTCTACTGTCACTTCCTTGGGTGAATTAGATTACTAATCTGTATAAGAAGACTTGCCAATTCAGGACAGTAGAGCTTTATTATTAAAAAAAAAAAACTACATTAGTTTAAGATTTTAGGTGCTAATTGTTTAATTCCCTTTTAAAAATCTGATTTTGGCAAAAGCATATTTATAACATAACCTGTACTTTTTTCCCGTTAAATAAAATCTCCAATATTTATTTTGATCCCTTATTTTTACGAACCTTGTCATGAAGATAACTAACTAACTAACATGCAAAGGAAATACTGAAGAATACTTGAAATATTGTCAGCTGGTACACAAGAAGACAATGGCACAAGAAATGCATTTGTTTGCCTGGTTCTTGCCTTCTTGCATTTTCATTACTGATTAATTGTAAAGAATTTGATTAATTGGGGTAGACTTACCCTGTCTGTCTTATTTTGCCTTCCTCAAATTTTAACTCATACTTTATGTATTACGTTTTTTCTGGTATCAACAGTTTCTTCTACCTTTTTCTGATGGTGACAAATTATAAGTATTTTCAAGAAACCTAGTTTATACTTAAGTATATTCAGTGTATAAAATACATTTGAAATTAAGTTTTGCCAGAGCCTTTCGTGTTAGAATATTTTCATAAAGAAATTTGCTTGTTGAAGTATGCCAACGGAGTATTACTAATGTCTTAATAGGCTAACATTTTCACAACATCCTGTAGTGTTCATGCTACTCAGCATTGTTTGTACCCTTTTCATAATACTATTTTTCATCACAGGATCTGGGATTGCAGATTACAACTCTGAATGGCCTAGAGCTGTGAAGAATTGCAGCTGTCCCAAAAATGAACAGAAAGGTCACCAAAGGTAAGCAGACTTTTGAGAAAATAAATGTCAAAAGAAATTCTTGCTGCTCTACATCTATATTAAGGGTATGGAGGTTGTTGCCTACATGCGTAACTCTAGAAGGAAAATCAGCATAGATGCTTGGGAGAGCCCAAGCTAATCAAACCTGCAGACTTGACACTGGGAGGCAGGTGTCTGGACAAAACTAGCCAGGCTCGAACATGGTTGGCCAGTGAACACAAGTTAATAAGATGTCCTCACTGAGTAGCCATTCTAGTCCTTCTTTTGTGTTCATTATAGAGGCATTTGTTGTTTTAGATATAACTATAGATTCTGGCTGTGTGTCTGAGCTAACAAGTCCTCTCAGATCGGTTGGCTGTGGAAAGTGCCGTATATTGCCACTTAAAAGGACATTTAGAAGTTACCTTCTGTGCAGTTGGGCATAGTCACCTGCATTTTAGCTCTGTAAACAAGTGGTGGAGGATATCTGACATTCTCTCCTCCTGCTGTTATCGCTGTTGACAGTGTATTTAGATCTCGGGAAAGAAAACACTCCTTCCAGCTCCCTGGATACTGGCCTACTGTATCTGTTTTTCTTAGCAAATATGTGACTTTTAAAGGCTTCTCAAGCTTCAGATCTCTTGGATTTGTAATTACGAAGTAATTTAATAGGCAGTAAGATTAAAAAGCATTAAAAGTTCTCTAAACAGTTTCTCATTTTATTTTCCAAAACATTTTTGACATGCTTTTTTTGCCAAAAAGTCTAATTTGGCACCACAAGATATTCTGCCTTCCCAAACTCAGTCAAGAAATATTTTCACTATGCTTGAAATGATTATACATCTGATATCAAAATTTTCTGACAATGTTCAAATTAAAATGTCAAGGGAAACCTCAATGCATTTTTTAACTATTTGTATAGAGAACTTAACCAGAAAAGAGGCTGTGTGATTTAAAGAAAAAAGTTTCAGTTTAAGCAAAGATGGAATTAAAACTTAGAGGCTTATATTACAAATATATAACAATATTGGTAAAGATTGTATTCGGATTATTTTTTATGTAATGGAAGTTTGGAGGCAAACTGAGTATGCAAGAATGTTTCTGTGGTGTTGAGTATGCCCACTTAGCTGAGTAAATTTCTGCTCAGTTTTTGAGTTCCTTTTTTTTTTTTCTCACTTTTTCTTGACTGCATACAAAATAGCCCTCCCTACAAGGTTAGTAATTGTTCTTAAGGAAAAGGTTTTCCTTTCCTCAATGCATGTAAGTAGAGAAGTTTAAGAAAGAGGGAGAAATCAGGATTTCACTGAATGCTTTCTTGGCAAGCCATCTGGAATAAAATTTATTTCCCTGTTCCTTAATTACACAAATGCATGTTTGCTAATTTGTAGCCAAAATGGACCTCAGCCATTAGGTTTCCTTAGGCCTGTGGTGTGATATTCTTAGTCTTCTGTGATTCCCAGGAGTGAAGCTCTTCTTTAATGGCTTCAGAGCTCTCAGAAGTTTTATGCCTAAGCCATGTGGCAAAATGCTATGTAGTGTAATGAATGGCTGTGGAAAGAAAAGGAATACCTTGATTGCCTTTGTCTAGAAAGTGATTGTGAAAAAAATATTTCAGAAAAGGAAATGTTCATAACTAATAAACCTTTTTTCAGCTCTGTGGGAATTCTGTCTTACAGCTGTACTTAATTGTCAGATGTAAACCAAAATAGTTTAAAATAGATGTTAAAAAAAATACACCATTTCTTAAGTCATGTGCAAGGGAATAATTGTATTCCCATTTGTACTTTTCTTTTTAGCTGTTTGGGAATACATTCGAAGATTACATCTCGAATTTTAATAGATATTTATATAATGTAGTAGCATGTTAATATAGTAGCATTACCGAGACATTAAAATAACATAAAATAACATGAAAAGTTTCTTCTCTAGCTGAAAGCCCATAGGAATGCAGACAAGGAGATGGGCTGCTGTTCACAGTCAAGATGTTTGGATACCTTGTTTTGGCGACTTGTTTCAATTTCATTCTGTTAATTGGAGTTTCAGCAAGCATAGTATTTTTGTGTAATTTACTGTATCATCAAAACTATTCTTTTCTATAGGATATCCAGAAAACTAAGCTACACTGATGGGAAAGACCAAAATCGTAGCAATCCCTTGGACAACTTCTTGATCAAAAGTCACGAAGGAGCAGTCACAAACTGCTATGGAGAAAACATTGTTTTATAAAGTGTTTGTTCTTCTTCCGAGAATCAAGGGTGTGTTATGTACTTAATATATAATTTGTCTTGATTCATACTTCCCTGTAATGTGTGTCTTCAGGAGTGGGTTCATCCCTTCTGACAGGACACTTTTTACTTCTTTGACTTCATGAGGTATTTCAGGCTTCCTTTCTGTGGCTAAGTTAAATTATATATTTAGTTTTTATAACAGAAAGTGATCTGTATTATCCTTTTATCTGCTGATAAGCTTTGATTAGGTATTTGATTAGGCATTAGTAATAAGATAGCTAACAAGCTGTTTCTGATAAATTGCTACCTATTCATGATACGTGCTAAATAAAAGCACATCAGTGCTAAATACATTAAAAAATCTAAACTGGGCTGGATGACCCAAATACAGTATTTTACCTTTTGAATTGTATTATGCCTGCTATGCGGTGTTAATGTTAAATTTTTTAAGTGGTTCACCGAAGTTGATTGTTCAATAAAATTTTACAATTTTTATTGTTCTGACAAAATTCTACCTGACACAACCTATATTCTAAATAAACACCTGATCTGAACAAATACCTGTTTTCAACATTGTATTTCAGGTATGTGAATTCTCATGAGGAGTTTGTATACTTACAGCAAATACATGAGGGTGATGTGACAGGGTCCCACAGGTTACTGTGCTCTTTCTTGGCAGGGAGCTATTGTTTTAGTGGTAAGCGTCAGGTCAAGTACACTCTGTTTTATCAGTGTTGGCCCTCATCTGCTTTCTGAGCCCCAGAAAAGGAAAAAAATCACTTTCCTTTGGCTTTACTTAATTTCTGGTCACACAGGAGTGTTTTTATGTAGTTTTAGCTCTTAAAACCAACATCTTGTTATCTTAAGTGTTGTTCTTGAAAGGAAGAAAAATCCAATTTCAGTGAGGTTTACTCTGTGATAAGATCATCTTTAATACATGTGCACACGCACATTCTATGCCTCAACTTTTTGTATGTTTCCTTCAAAAACTGCAATAAAAGATTGTCTTTAGAAATGCTTTTGTGGCTTTTTTCCTCCTGTTCCAGACATGGGTGAACTGTAGGGAATATGCTTTACAAACTGCCTTCCCCTTGGATTTGTTGAGGTAACTATTTCCTGGTATTTCTTGATAGGCCAGTACTGAGAGATTACATAATTCCATTAATGTTTTCTGTTCTAAAGTAACTTAAAGGTAAACTGGAACTAGGTTTTGGACATGTTCTGATTCTGCATATGACTTCTACACAACAATCTGAATGCAGGCTTACCTAGGTAGGAAGGTAAGTTTATTTAAACAACATGGCAATAGTTCATTGTCTCCATGAAAATTACTTCAAAAGAATTTTAAGAGGTAGCTCTTGAAAAAACTTGAGGGGTTGGAAGATAAGCTCATCCAAGTGCCACCTTTTTGATGCAAGCAGTAAAAAAAAATGGGAGAATGTTACACAATTATTTTTAGAGTTTGTTCCTCCAATATCCATTTGAGTCAGCAGACTCTCAAAAGTATGATATGGAAAAGTCTGTGTTGTTTTTCCTAACCATACTGTTTAAAGAGGTGCATCTGCAGTGACTGTGAAATGGTATAGTGACTATGGGAGTATACCTGTTACAGACTTAAAAAGACTTTGTGGTGCTACTTGATCTCTCTTCTGTTTTGAGCTCTGTTCTTTCCTTCTGAACCATTTTGCTTCTTCCACCATATTTCCTCTTGTTTACTCTTCACTGTTCGATTGAACCGGTACTTGAATGTTAAGCTTACTGTTAATGAAAACAGCTTCACACTGCTTCCCTCTGATTCACAGTTTTTGTAAGGAACACTGGAAAAACAAGCTAGGTTACTGAGAGTGTAAACCTAGACTTAGCATCTCCTTTAATTATTCTGCTGTCATTAGTTGAAACTTCCTTTATACATAAATAATCTAACTAATAAATGATAGTTTATGGAGGTCTTTTGCTAATAGCTTGAAGATAGAGCAATATTGAACATGCTCTGTCATGTAAGAATTCAGTAGTCATTGGAAAACTGTCCCAAAAAGTAATTTAAAAAATAAGTCATTCAGTTGCTTGTTTAAGCAGACAAGAGGGTAAAGAGCTTTAGGAATAAAGCTAAATCTGGACTATGACAGCATTAGAAGTGCCTTGGAAACAGCTGATAGGCCATTAAAGATGATCCTGAAGTGGAGCCTGTGAGAGAAGCAGTGAATAATTTAATAGAAGCATTGATTAAATGTGGAAAGAAAGAATATATTGAAGGAGAATATTTACAAAAGTGCCCCCCTGTTTTAGCAAGCTATGTTGTGAGGGAAAGCAGCTGCTGAAAATTGGCATGAAAAACTGGACTAGATGAAGAATATGAGAGGAAATTAGATGTAACTAAATACCATGAAGTGGACTTAGTGTTACATGTAGACTCAATGAGAAGTGTGTATTTCATTTCCATTAAATTAATGATCAGGCTGAAATGACAGGTTGAATTTAGATAACTCATAGAAGTTCTCCAACTTTGGAAATTTTAGAGGAAAGGCATAACTAAGAATGCAAATGCTGTGAGAATATTGGGAAACAACAACTTTTGTACACAGCGTACACAAATTGTATTAAAATAGGGCATCCTTTGTTTCATGTGTATGTTGGAAAATAGTAACAAATAGACTCTTGGGCCTGTGCTTATTTGCAAGATTGTTTGAGAAAACTTTCTTTTAACCCTCTCGAAGGGCTGAGTATTGCATCTGATTGGCGCCAGCTAAATTGAAATATTTTATATAAATATTTTACATATTAATACTCTTCAAACAATTTTGATATAAGTCAGAGTATGTTGATATGTATTTTATTACTTATTTTGTCCTAGAAGTGAACAAAGTATCATTCTTTCCAATCTAATTAAATTTAGTACTTCATGCGCTGAACACCATCTTCGTGTTTAGCTTTGGATCTTTGGCTTTCAGTCTTTGGCTTTGGATTTGCCTTCCTCCTTTCCCCCCTTAGGATCTTAGTCAGGCCAATAGTTTAATATGGTTCTCCATTAAAGTGTCTTTTATCAATTCTTCAACAGTATTTACTGTTGCCTATGCAGTGGTAGTTGTTCTAAGACCATGATAACACAATCACTTTAATTCCAAGTCTACCTTGTTTCTGGGGTGTAGCAGCCAAGCATATTGACTTGATTTCTGCACAAAAAAGCAAGTGCTAGCACAAGACAGGCAGTGACACTGAGCAGCTTTGGCTGCAGGGGTTTGCCTCTTCTAGGCTAAACCTAAAGGAAGTTAAGGCATGTTAATGAGACTCTAACTGTGAGCTAAACTAAAGAGGAACCAGGCAGTCAAAGAGTTGTTTCTTTTATGTTGGTTTTTTTTTTCCTTCATAAATTGTTCTATCTCTGGACATGTCCATCCACCTTTGCTTTTAGAAGGGATGTTGGCTTTTTGTACTATGGGCTTTCAGTTTGTTTTGGTTTTTGTAACTGCTTTCAGGGTGATCTCCTTCAGGACTTGAGACACTTGCAGGGCTCTCTTATGTGCTTGAGTTTTAAGCTCCTTGACACTGTGCGCTGCATGGATTTTAAAGGCATTAACATCCTTTTTTAGAGAAGGTTGAGCTGTCCGACACTTAGAGGTAGGCATATTACATCAACATGCCTTACTGTTTCCTGCTACTACTACTTAATGACTCCCAAAATACAAAAATAAATCCCCACTCTAGACCATCTGATGGGTTTAAAGTCTTGAGATTAATGTGCACACAGTATGTTAATTATTTGGGGAAATAAAAGCCTCTTTCTACTTCTGTAAAATAGTCAATAAAAGTGAAAATGTAAAACCCAATAGGAATTTAAATATCACATAGAATATTAAAAGGAAAAAATCCTCCTTAGTAGATTTATTGTTATAGATCATTTGTCAGTTTCATTGTGGACTCTTCAGTACAGCTGGATACAATCACATAGGAGGATTTTTTCCTTTTAATATTCTTAGTAGATTTATTGTTATAGATCATTTGTCAGTTTCATTGTGGACTCTTCAGTACAGCTGGATACAACATTATGTTAGTAGAGGAGTTGAGATTTGAGATGTATACTGGTATTGCTCACAGAAGGAAACTAAAGATATATGAAGATAACGTTAAATCTTGCGAAATGTACAATACTGCTTTAAACAAGCTGTTAAATTATTCTCCAATTAGCTTTGGATATATTGTGTTATTACCATAGACCAGTCACAGTGGGGAAAGTACAAAATGTTGAACAGCAGATCAGTTTTTAAAGGAAAGCAACTACATCCTGAAGTATGCAAGTATGAAATACAATTTCCTTCCAAAAGTACTGTTAAAACCTATCTAGAAGGGTAGTTATACTCTGCTAGATCTCTATAGACAGCAGAGCGGGTCTTCTAGGACTGTTAGAAAGTTGATGGTTGTTTTAAAAAAAATGACTAAATTTTACTGGAATCAATACCATATGAATGCAGAGATACCAGCTTTTACAACTCCCTTTCAAAGTGTCTTTCAGAAGGGCAGGTCCTTCAAAGCGGTAGTCTGGATCTTATTTCTTGCTTAGTCCATAAATGTGCTTGGAAGACACTTTGGAACACTTACCCATTTTATACCATTGTTTGGTATATCGGTTATTATCCCAAATCATTCACTGTTCCTCCAGAATGAACAGGCACATCTCACTTTATGATAACTTATCTGGTTTATGAAGCCACTTCAAATGTTCTCTCCTCTTGTAGTATGAATCAAACCCATTAATCTGGTGGGATCATCATGAATGGCTTCTATGTTTGCTGTGTTATCAGCAGCCAGCTGCTCACTATTGAGGTAAATGCTAACTTTAGAAGCCATCTTGGTGGGGTTAGATGATCTTTCTTCTTCATCTTCCTCTGATGAGGGGTCTTTCTTTCTCCTTGGTTTTCTGCGTTTTCCCTTGACACTATGATCAAGTGATGCATAACACATCTGATTGACAGACTCCACCTAGAAGGAAATTCACTGTGTTAT